CCCCCCCAGCCCCTAGCTGCCCTCACCCTCCACGTTCACCCAGCACGTCCCACATGCCTTGACCCAAAAGTCTTCCAAGTCTTGAGGAAGACATGGAACCGCTTCAGCCACCACAGCGAGCGGCCCGGAACCAAAGCCGCCTTCTGGAGCCAGGCCGGCGCCACCCCTGCCCTGCCACTGCTCTACCAGGCAGGACAGCCAAAGCTGGCTGAGGAGCTGGCGCTCCCGCTCCCTCCTGGGGTGGGAAGGTCCTCGCTGCCACCTTGCCCTCTTCCGACCCTCCCTGCCAACAGCCCCCAGGCCTCTGAAGGACACCCAGGAGACGCTGACGGTGCCGAGGCCAGTTCGCTGCAAAGGGCTCCAGGCCAAGGCGAAGCTGCTGACAGAGAGCAGCTATCACTTAGTGGGACATCTGCCCCCTCCCATCCATTGCCTCCATCCCTGGAAGGCCTGGGCTTTGTTATTAACGCCCTTCTAAGAACAGCCAAGCTGTCCCTCAGACTAGTATTGTAGCAACAATGCAGAAAGCGAATCAGCTGGGGAGAGGACCAGCGCTTCTTGTGCTGAAGCATGGAAGGAAGGGAAAAACCCCACCCTCTTGCCCCACCTTTGGTCCCCAGCGTGTACTCTCCACCCCTTCATTTTGGTGACACCTCCACTTTCCTCTCCCATCACAGGAACAGCTATGAACTCAAAGGTTGAAATCAGACAACAGCTCATAACAGCTTACTTCTGCAAGTAAAAAAGTAGTACCGTCTTTTCCTCAGTCACATATTTACCTACCCCTTGCCTTCTTCTACTGAAAAAGTGCAGTCCTGCAACATTTCTTTTATAAAAAGAAATTTAAAAATCACTGTCACTAGGAGATGCTGCCAAATGCAAACAGAACAAACACACGCCATGTCCCACAGCAGAACATAACACATTTCTGGCAAGGGCACAAGACAGGAACTCTGTGATGCTGCAGCTCTTCCTGCACAGGAAAAGAAGGCTCAGAAAGGCCAACCCAGCTTCCCAGCCTCTGCTCCCAGAACAGCAGCTGAGGGCTCCCTGACCATGGCTGCTAAAGAGACAGACAGCTCTTGGTGAAGGTCTGACAGTTCCTGCTTGGTCTTTGCACAGCACTCAATATAGTCCTGCTTGTAGTTTCATTCCTAGGCCAGCTGAATCTGTGGAAGGGCCACCTGAAAGAGGCAAAAGGCTGAGCTCAGACAAGCCCATGCTGTTAGGACCATCCGTAGCTTCATGGTTCTAGCTGTCAGGGAAGACACACCCTCTAACTCCAGCCCTGACAAAACACTTTGTCCTTGTGGAATGGGAAGTAACAGGTTCCCAGAGCTGACTGTCAACAATTCATGTTTCTTTCTGGCATACCATTCACACATCTCTGAGACATTCCTTGTATATTAAAGACAGAGGTTCCTACAGGATTTAATAACCCAACTCTTTTTTTCAAAAGAGAGATTTGGGCTACTGACACCTTAGTTCCACATGCTTTTCCCTCAGAAGGAGGACTACTGGTTATACAAGGCAGTGAAGAACTCTTCTGTATTGATCTAGTTTAAAAACTTGAGAGCTCGCACAGGAAAAGGGAGGAAACTCTAATTTTTCCTAACTTTAGAGCATTTCACAAATGAGCAGAGCATCATTTGATGAACAAAGCCCAGGAGGGTGAGCCTCGGAGGACTGCTGAGGGTTTGGAAATCCTCAAACTCTGTTACTTCCCTGCAATGTAGCATTGTGCAATAGGGTTCAGTAGCTGGAATGTACATTCTGACATTGATAAAATGAATGTCTGTAACAGTGCTCAGGTCTCTGACTCTGGCCAATACTGGTGTCATGATTAGCAGAGAATAGCAATACGAGACCAACGATTGCCTGAGGGCTATAAGCTCTGGCACTGCCTCAGATCCCTGGAGCTCTGATATGATGCAAGCTCCACTGTTAATTGAGCCAAGGGAAAACAGGAAGAGCCACCAAGATGAGTAAGACTCAAGGGGAACATCCTTCAAATATTTTCTATTTTCTGGAAAGTTCTAGTTTTCTGCATTTCGTCCAATTCCTCTCCCACCATGCCTGACCTTCAGGCAAGTCAGAGACTAGACCTAAGTGAATGATGCTGTTTGGACATGGCCAACAGATGTGTCTGACTGGCTGTTTCCACTGCCTGACGTACTCACCTCCTGACAGCCAAACAGAACTCAGGCTGTACAGTCACAGCAGCTTTTGATGGGAGCTTTCCTACTCCTCACCTGGTTCTGCAACTCAGCTAATTGATGGCTGCAGCACACGTGAGACTCCTCCTGTCAAGAAAATGTAAGGATTTGTTTTTCATCTCCTAGTTTGGCTAGTGTCATGGTCTACATTTGACCTGTATTAGGCCTATACTGGGGGGCGGCTGCCACTGGGATTTGCCATTGTTCCTCTGTATAACCAGAGCCTCCTCCCACCAAGTCAGATTGTGTTCTCACCTCTTCAGAAGCAGGCACCTTGTGCTAGTCAGAGAGAGAAAATCCACATGCAGGTGGCAGCGACCGACCACTACAGTACCTCTTCAGTCTCCTCCGTTCATGCTCCACCTGCATGTTGCATAGGAGAAAGAGGCATAAACCTGCCACCAAACAAGGAGCAAAAGCTCCTCTGGACATCACAGCAAGGAGATTTCTGCTCTGCTCAGAGACTCTTAATTGCACCAGAGAATGCTGGGGGCAAAAAGCACTACTCAAGGAAGACTATGGAAGAGAAAGAGCAAGAGGAAACAGTTCCTGACACAAGAATGTCAGTCAAATGTGTGTGTATGGGGACTCTGGGGCAAGAAGGGTGGGACTGCAGTGAATGTGCATTTACGAAGGCAATGGGGTACCAGAAGAGAGAGAGAATATAAAAGGGTGTGTCCACAGGGGAAACTGAGAGAGCAAAGGAAATGAGAAGACTCCAAAGTGCCGCCTGTGGAAATGTGTTGTGTTCCAGAGGACCGTGAGGCTTTGCAGAGGCAGTGAAAGCCTGTTTTACCTGCTCAAGACTCCTCCTGAGCTCAGCATTGAGTTGCTTCAGCTCAGCCTTCTCAAGTTGCAGCCTTTCAACTGCTTGCTGCAGGTGTTCCAGCTGCTGCGACAGGATTCTCTTCTCAGAGAGCCAGGAGAGCTTCTCCCCTTCTGCAGTAGCCTGCTGGGTATACAAAGAGGAGATTAGGTGAGCTGATGCCACATAAATGTTAGGAGGGCCAGAATCAACAAGTTGGGGAGAGTGACTGGGCTCAGGAACAGACAGTGCTAAGTCCCTTCTTCTCCTCCTAGTCCACAGGCTAAAACAACACACTCTCTTCCTAGGGATCCTCCTCCAGATCATCTTGGAGAAATCTACACCTGATCAGGCAATGGTATGAACACATGTGGTATCCACATCTCTGAGGTGCAGCTTTTCCAGTGTATTAAAAATAGTGGCATTCATACCATTGCCTGATCAGGCAATGGTATGAATGCCACTATTTTTAATACACTGGAAAAGCTGCACCTCAGACATCCACATCTCTGAAAGCATCCTCTAAGCACCACCAGTGTAGCTGCTGTTCAGCCATGGTTATAAAATTTAGTTATAAAGTTTAGCATATTAGTTTGGTCAACTGTGCCTTGTACCTTTCCATGCCAAATCCTAACCACGACATGTTGGCTAAGCTTGCCTAGATAAGAGAGAATCCATACCCATCCCCAACTTTTGGACTTGAGTTAATTTTAACAGCAAGCTCCGTAGTTCCGGACTTGACAGAAAACATTCTAGCAGGTGAACTGTCTCTGGCCAGAGCGGCGCAAACAGGCAAGCCTGCTGGCTGCAATCCTAGTTTCTTTGGTCAAGCAGGTCATATATTTATGGGAATACATATTCCCATCTCTTTACAGGAAACATCATTAGAATCCTCTCTAGGCATTTCAGTTGACTGATGATCAGTCACACTGCCCACCTGATGATGAAAACGGTCCATGTCCCTCTCTGAAATCATGCTCTGCAGGATGCCTGTTTCTTCACTCAAAGTCCCATTGGCCATTTCACTCTTGGTAAGGGCAAGAGTCAGTGCTTGGGCCTTCTCTTTCCATTTGACTTCTCCGCTTTCAGTCTGCTTCAAAATATCAATCACACACTCCAATTCTTCCCCCTTTGCTTTCTGCTCATCTTCCAGTTGTCAGGTCAAGGTGGCCAACAGCATCCTGGCCTGTATCAGAAATAGTGTGGCCAGCAGGAGTAGGGAGGTGATCGTGCCCCTGTACTCGGCACTGGTGAGGCCACACCTCAAATGATGTGCGCGGTTTTGGGCTCCTCACTACAAGAAAGACATTGAGGTGCTGGAGCATGTCCAGAGAAGGGCAACGAAGCTGGTGAATGGTCTGGAGAACAGGTCTTATGAACAACTGCTGAGGGAACTGGGGTTGCTTAGTCCGGAGAAGAGGATGCTGAGGGGAGACCTTATCGCTCTCTACAACTGCCTGAAAGGAGGTTGTAGTGAGGTGGGGGTTGGTCTCTTCTCCCAAGTAACTAGGCATAAGGCTGAGAAGAAATGGCCTCAGGTTGCGCCAGGGGAGGTTCAGATTGGATATTAGGAAACATTTCTTTACTGAAAGAGTGGTCAAACATTGGAATAGGCTGCCCAGGGAAGTGGTGGAATCACCATCCCTGAAGGTGGTCAAAAAACTTGTAGATATGGCACTTCGGGACATGGTTTAGTGGGCATGGTGGTATTAGGTCAACAGTTCGACTTGATGATCTTAGAGGTCTATTCCAACGTAATGATTCTGTGATTCTGTGATTCTAGATTACATATTAGCAAGCTATGGGGGGACCTGTGCTATAATTTGAAATGAGTATTGCATGTACATTGAAGATGGGCTTAAAATCCAACAAGCAGGAATATCACCAATTGAAATGGCTGAGCTAGAGTGGGAGAAGGCCAAAGGTTCATCTTGGTGGGACTGGCTTACCTCCTGATTACCTAATCTGAAATGGCTTAAAGAATTGTTCATTCTTGTCATAGCCATAATCAAATATGTATTTTGTGTTGTCTTACGATTCAATGCCTCCTAGTAATTACTGAATGCGTAATTGGAGTGACAAGGGGCCTCAGACAAGACAAGAAGTGTTATTACTATAAGTCACTTTGAGCAAGACTCCCAAAGAATTAGCTTTGGAAGTCTCAAAGTATGGAATTGTTCTAAGGAGTCCCAAACAGGAACACAATCAAGGATATTTTTGACGGCTAGTCTGGCACAACCTGGGGGAATACAGGTAAACCACCAAGATTAGGAAACTGAGGAATCTGCAAACAGGGTGGTGAGACAAGATAAGCCCATAAAAGGAAGAAAGACTCAGAGTTCATGGAAACGCTGAGACACCTCTTCAACGGCCACCAGAGACCCACACGGAAGTCCTTCAGAGACACAGGCCACATGTGTAATAACTACGCAACTATGAAAATTAATTCCAGGAAATAGGATGAATATGTATAAACTTTCCGGGAAATCTAATGTCTGTGTGTGTAACACGGGGTGGAGTGATGCCCCGTGAATCCCATGCCGCAATAAAAGAATGCCTGCCTTGTGATGCTGCATTGGGGTTAAGAGGTTTATTCCCGGTTTCAGTGACACCTCAAGATGAAAACATCTCTGCGGAAGGACAGAAGTTGGCAGATGGGACAAACCAAGTTACTACAGAGACAATACGTGAAGGATAGTCCAGAACCTATGAACTATCATGAATCCATTCTTACAGGAATTTGCAGGTAGGAGGAATGAGAAACACCAAATGGCACCCATTGTTTGTGTGAGTGATAAATGTCTCGTCTTTGCTCCCACAAGGATGCAAAGCCTGCAGCAGAAGAGAGAAGGCACAGCCATAACCAGGTTTTATTCCAAGACAGTTCACATAACGATGACAGGATTTACACAGCTCCCCTCTGGACACTAAATAACCCCAGAAAAGATTCCGTTTGCTTCGTGCTACTGCAAAGGCAAGTAAACAAACTAGACAACCTAACTCCACATGTTCTTAACAATCATCAGAGTAGCTTCCAAAGGCATACCAAAACCACAACAGTTCTCATCATCCCCTGAACACGTAGCATTTCACTGCACAGACTTTCAGAGGCCTTCTGAAAAAAAAAAAAACCAAACACATGCAACATAACTCTATTAATTCAAGTGCTGAGAAGGTATGAAAAGGTGTAAAGGTTACTGAGTGTCCTCTGGCTCTGCCCTCTAACAGCTCTCGAAGCAATCGGCATCCAAGGAATTTGGATCAAACACTTTTATTTCTTCTTTCCCCAGCTCCAAGACAAGAGAGGATTCAAAGTGCTGAGGCACATAAACCAACGCTCTCTTATACTCTTGTTCTGTTCTACTCAGAATAACTGTTCTACACAGGAATGCAATGATTTGTGTTGGAAGCCATGTGTCCCGCACACAAGCCCACCCAAAATGGTATGTATACAGCATGGATCAGGCACAAATTCCATGCCTTTCCATTTCTAAGAAGATCATATAAGGATCGGGCTACTATTGAAAAATCCGGGACATGTTTTCAACAAAAGACTAATAATCCCAAGGTTTGTTGCAATTGCTTCTTTTTCTCTGGAATCATATTTGATCTAGCAGGGAAATGGGTACCTTCTGGAATGGAAACTGACCCTTCTTTTCACCCAATACCTAAAAATTTTTCCTCACTAGCAGGAGTTTGTATTTTGCTTTTAGGTATTTGGAGACTTATCCCATTTATATGATCAATAATTCTATCTTGCATAGTGTGTCCCAAGGCTATGGTATACTGCCTTGTTACATGTCATGTCCCCCTAACCTTAACTCCTAAACGAAAACTTAACCTAAATCCTAAAACTACAAACTATCCCTAGCCCTTAACCCGAACCCTAATTCTAAACCCAACAGCTAACCCTATCTCAACCCCCTAATGCTATATCCTAACCCTAATCCTTATCACTAATGCTAACCCGAAGCCCTAAACCCAGAAGAAGACATTGCTGTCATACTGGTCTTTCAGCTTCTTGTCAGGGTACACTCACAACAAAGCAAACCTTTTCCCATATATAATATCATTTTTCTACATCTTGATACTGCAAGAATACCTTCTGGAATGCAACCTGACCCTCCTTTCACCCAATGCCTAAAAGCTTACCTCACTGGCAGGAGTTTGTATTTTCCTTTTACGTATTTGGAGATCTATCCCTTTTAAATGATCAATAATTCTATCTTGCATAGTGCGTCCCAAGGCTATGGTATGTCCCCCTATTACCCACAATATCCTCCAACCCTGCCCCTAAATCCTAACCCTAACACTATCACTTGGCTTAATCTAACTCTAAAGCTATCACCAACCCTAAAATCTAACCCCAAAATTAGGGGTTGCTGGCATCATATTGTTTGTTCACCTTCTCGTAAGGCAACACTCACAACAAGCCAACTCTTTTCCCATATAGAATATCGTTTTTCTGCATCTTTGCAACTGCAAAAATAAAACTGAAGTGGTCTTGTTGGACCCTCAGGTCCCTTGTGCCACATATGGACCGACAGTCCCAAATCGGCAAATCCCCACTCAGTTTTCATGGGATCTGTGGGGTGAATGGCTCCTAGTGCCTGATGGGTGTTATCACTAAGGCTAAACCTAAGCGCTAAACCCAAAAGAAGACATTGCTGTCATATTGGTCTTTCAGCTTCTTGTCAGGGTACACTCACAACCAAGCAAACTTTTCCCCACATATAAGACATTAAGCTGACTGGCCCACAACTCCTCAGATCTTCTTTGTTAAAGACAGAAGTGACATTTGCCTTTGTACAGTCATCAGGAACATCCTCAGGCACCAGAACTTTTCAAAGATAACCAGCAGTGGCCTTGCAGTGACATCAGCCAGCTCCCTCAGACCTTGTGGGTGCAGCCCATCAGCTCCCCCGGCATTACAAAAAAAGAAGATCCCTTCCCTTAATGCTGTAAATACACTAACTCAAAACACACTCCTTTCTGCCAATGCATTTCAAAGCATGCAACTGAAATGCTGTCTCCTGCATGTTTAAAAGACTCTCTTGCTGCAATCGCACCTAGCAGGTTTTAAACCGAGCCATTTCACGTCCACTCTTGCTGCAAAGGCAACAGGAGCCTTGCTCCTGCTCCTGGAA